GCGTTGGCAGATAAGGCGCAGAAAGAAAAGCACATGGGACGACATGTTCTCAAACCTAATGGGCTGCTCCCGAGCCGAGGCAACCCTGCAGAGTCAGTGGAGGGAGAACATGTCCCAATACCAGAGAGCACACAGCGACTTTAACACTTTACCGCAAAAACAGTAATAAAGAAAACGTTGTTCATTAACAAATTTTCAGTGATTTTATTTTTAAACGTGTGTTGGAAGGGGGGGAACGCGGTGAACGGGGTATGAAACTGGAGAGGATAGTGAACAGTCACCGGATAAAGAAACGGGGGCAGGTTCAGCTTCTCTGTAAACCAACAAAATTGTCACAGGTTACCCTGCTCACTCAGGAACCTAGCTTTCAAAGCCTCCCGGATGCACAGCGCTTCCCGCTGGGCTCTTCTAATTGCACGGCTGTCTGGCTGGGCGTAATCAGCAGCCAGGCAATTTGCCTCAACCTCCCATCCCGCCATAAAGGTCTCCCCCTTGCTCTCACAGAGATTGTGGAGCACACAGCAAGCTGCTATAACAATGGGGATATTGGTTTCGCTGAGATCGGAGTGAGTCAATAAGCTTCTCCATCTCCCCTTGAGACGTCCAAAAGCACACTCCACCACCATTCTGCACTTGCTCAGACGGTAGTTGAAGAGTTCCTTTTCACTATCCAGGGTGCCTGTATAGGGCTTCATGAGCCATGGCATTAGCGGGTAGGCTGGGTCCCCGAGGATCACTATAGGCATCTCCACATCCCCAACAGTTATTTTGTGGTCCGGGAAGTAAGTACCTTCCTGCAGCCGTCTAAACAGACCAAAGTTCCTGAAAACACGAGCGTCATGAACCTTGCCCGGGCATCCGACGTAGATGTCGGTAAAACGTCCCCTGTGGTCCACCAGTGCTTGCAGCACCATGGAAAAGTAGCCCTTTCAATTAATGTACTGGCTGGCCTGGTGGTCCGGTCCCAGGATAGGGATGTGAGTTCCATCTATAGCCCCACTG